TTTTAGTAAAAGGGAAACAGTTGTGTCAAATATTGCTGTTCTTTGGTTTGCTTTGAGAATTGTGATACAAATTGCATACATACAATGTAATTATCTATTTATTTATTTTAAAAACCTTTTGAGTTTTGAAGAAAATTTGCAGAAAATAATTTAAACATGCACTTGAACGAAACAAATAGATAACACAATGATAAATATTAATTGTCTCTTTTCAATTGTTGAAAGAATTTCTGCAAGTTTTATAATCGTATTTCTATGAAACGAAACAATTTTGTATGCTATATGTGTGACTATCGAACAATGACGATAAAATTCATTTTAAAAATATTTTGTGTAACAAGTAGTATGAATCAGATTCTAGAACTTTAAATTTATTCAGTGGTCTCTATCAAATTATGCTCCCTTTATAGTTCTGTCTTAAGGTTCTGCTGTATCGGTTAGATCATCGAAATCGATTACATGTACCCTTTGGGTATCTACTTATCTGCGATGATGTAATTCAAAAGATTCTTTTGTTAATTTTCGTCTCTTTTCCACTCAGCGCGTACATGTACCAATGCACAAAGATATCAATTGGAAGTTCGTATATTGAACTGAAGGTCAATTAACTTGAAAAATGGCCATCGTTAAAAGATAATGAATATGCATAGTGTCATTCCACGAGTAATGACTATCACCCGCGCGAGAATGGGATTAATTGAGAATTCTCAAATGAGATTATCGAATGATGATTGTACAAAGCTATTGAATATCGTGATAATATGTATAAAGTTGTAACCATGAAAGGGCCGGGGTACAGATCAATAGCCTATTGTAAAGCATCTTACAATAACGTTAGAGTAGACAAGTTGATAATTACTAATTCGTGCAAAAAATGTCAATCAATGTTACAATAAAATCACCTTTTACAAGATTTTTTTTCGAAAAAAAAAACTAAAAAAAAAATCCTGTATAATGTTTTAATCTACAGTTATATTCAATATTTTTATTTTTTATGTTTAGCGAATACGTGTGTACAAAACTACTATAATATATTTATCTTTAAAAAAAACAACATTTTACACTTAATATAAAACTATATTGTGAATTAACAGAAAGATTTCAGACAGAGTGGTATTAACATACTGGTACGAGTAATTAATTTTATTCTTAATAAAATATAGCATAATGATAAAGTCAACCAATCTTAATTAAGGGATCTGCCCCCCCCCCCCTCCCCCCCAAAAAAAATTAAAAAAAATTAGAAAATTTTAGTGTCTGTTCTTTTTTATTTGTAATAAACGGAATTTCTATTACAGGTTGATGGTGATTTACATGTAATGCACTTTCAAGAGTGGCATAATCCGGATAGTTACAAACTATATAGTTAATATTGAGGATATCACATAAAAATCAATGAACACACAAGTAAATGTGTAGAGCGAGAACACCTTCACCTTTTTGTATGTAAAAATTGGCTTGTTTATTTTTTTTTCTAAAAGTGGATTCTCTGCTTTTTAATGTTTCTTTCTTTTATGTTTCTTAATTTAATACTATCGGATCTCATGAAGAAAATCGTCCGCATTTAAACATCCAATTAATCATATTAGCCTCTTCTTATCCATGAAGTTGTAATTTATTATATTAACTAAGTTAATGAATCTTATCTTTTCGTGTAGAGAAAATATTTTACACCAGATGTATCAAAAAAAGTTAAATTTTTATCAATCTTCAAAAGTCAAACACAATTTAATACAATGTGATAATCCGAAAATATCCCTGAAAACCATCCTTCTGTACAAAGCTTATAATAGTCAAAAAATATAAAATTTGGTTTAAACAATATTTAATCATATACATGCAATTCATATTGTACATTAGGTACAAAGGACGTCCCCCTCTTCTACAATGTAAAGTTACAAATTCATAAGTACACTCGTTGCTAGTTTCACAAGGACTTAAAGAAATACATATAACTGACAATACTTATACATGTATGTAAAATGTATTATACAAGTAACAGTTATAATCTTATGGATATGATACATTAACTAGGCCTTACCTTATTTTGTTCTATAAAGTCAAAGTCAGTTTAAGATCTACTACATGTATTGTTCTAAATATTAGCATGGTGACATTTGTTCAATGTCCTTCATTTAAGTACCAAATTTCAAGAGTTTTTCAAGTCTTCTTTGCCTTAATGTCATGGAGCTTTGAGTGAAAAATCCACTTGGAGTAAAGCGTTATGTACATGTACTTGAAAGTCGTTTTGTCTTGAACGCGGTATGTGCATGCGCGTGTATGGCTTGCATATCAAGTTGTCCGTGTTTGTCCTCGCGTATTCTATCCTTAATTCAAATTAGTTCTTTTCTCCAAAAATGAGCGTTTTTTGGTTTGTTTGTTTTTTTTTTTTTTTTTTTTTTTTTTGGTTTTCTTCAAAAGTAGAATTACAACTTATATTTCTCTTTGATGCAAGATACACTACGCTTTAAATAAACATAATCCAGGTTTTCTTTATTTATTTTGTTTTTATTAAAACACTTACTGAATTCAAAGAAATTATCGAGTTGAAAATTAAAATGTAAACCCGATTTATTTATTTTTATTTACACTGTGATCCAATGATAACAATTTTCGAATAACTGATTATAAAAATACAGTTACATGTATTCTTTAGACCCACACACAGATATAATATACACATGTATTCGAGTATACAGTGAAAACATTTGAATTTCATAGTCTTTTCAATATAGAAAAAAATCGATGCTTTTTTATCTACTGACAAACCATTTTAAATTTTAATTTACTCCGGCAAAATCTTAATACAAGCATTTTCTATATATTATTTCTAGTCCTTCATCAAAGTTTATTGTTTGAATATGTGCAAGATGAAACATTCAGGGCAGAGAAAAGCATAAACTAATGAAATTTGTTCTTTTGGACATAGAAAAACGCAAAACCATTTATGAGAGAAATTTAGGTCACTAGATCAACACTATTCAATAAAGACTACATCAGGCATGATGCAGGATTAACTAGGAGACAAATTGATTCAACACGAACAGAGAGTAAGACGGAGACTTTTTGGCAAATTAAATTACACTTTCCTGGTGCTGCCTACTAATATCTATGTTCTTCAATGACAGCTCATTTCTTGAGTGCTGGTAACCCTTTATAATTATTTACATCCAATATGTTAAACCCTAGAGAGAAATGAGACTAATGAATGTACAATTTGGATTTCAGTTCATAATAGTGGGTGAGAGGATGCGAGGTGGTGCATGTATCCCCCTCCTCCCTTAAGGAGAGAATTGTTTTGTTCGAAATACATTATGGAGAGCGTCTGGCCTTCAAATTTAACTTTGAAAAATAATTGTAACGATCCTCAAATTACTGATCGATAAATCAAATTTTCTATTGTAAGTGTTGTGTAATATCAGAACCTCGTGTAATCATTTAACATATGCTAAGTATTGAACATCTGTGCTTTTTTTCTCTTCAGACAAATTAAGTCGAAATGCTTAAGATTTTATATCTATTAATTCATACATTCTGAGATGGCTTTAACTTGGAGAAAAGAACATGGTCGTCCGGTAGTGTATCGAAATGGACAAAACGTTTGCGATAAATGGTCTCCATGGTACGTAAAGGAAGGGAATAAGTTTTATATCAATTGAACACGTAATTGATTTTGTTAAATGTGCTACCCTGTAAAATTTCAATTCATGGAACTCTATGCTAAAGGATGACATAAAATCTTAACTAAATGAACTGAAATTACTTGGATTTTCAATAGGTTTCAGAAAACCGAATAATTATATTTCAAGAGTAATGAAATGATTACTATTGATTATTACCATGAGATATTGAGTTTATTTTTGTACTCGGTTTAAAATATGATGTATTTGTATGAGTTCATTTTCATAAAAGAAATAAAAGTAAGTGTCACATCCTCCCCGGTTCAATAGATTTGACCAATTTATAGCTGTGCAACATTACAACGTAAAAGTTTGTTTCGTGACTGATAATTCTGTATTGTTCCAGCTGTAATACTTATTACATTCTTCAATGGAATTCTTTTAAGCCTTGTAATCTTATTACCATATATTTTTTGTGTTAAATACAAAGAAATATGTTGGAAGCAAAGTTAAATTGTGCATATTTTGGTAGCATGCACTCTTTTTGCAGTCTTCCTTTTTTAATTATATGTAAAAATATCCTTAGTAAATTTATCGGCTTGCCAATTGTTTGCTTTATGTTTACTTTAGAATACCTTTACAAAAAACATCATCTCAAGTCACAAACCCTATCAACCAACAGCTGCAGCTCATGATACGTGATCTAGACAAAGATATATGATTTGAGCTTTAGCTATATAGTCGTACATGTATGTATAGTGTATTTTACTTGGTCAAAACAAAATCATATTACATGACTTGCAATATTGCCGAAAGGGTCACTCCTCCTAACAGTAGGCTGGGATTTATTGTAATAGTAGTGTGTACTAAAAACACAATACTCGCAAAGAACGTAAACACACTCTCACTAGTCGCTGATAAATAGTCGTGTTTTATCCATTTCAATAAAGTGTGAGAGAGCAACGCAAAACGATCCATGTGTTTGTACTGTTGGAGAGAACTTTGGATACCCCAGCTGATTAAATGGTGACTCGTTAATGAAAACAAAGACAATATCGACGACGGTGTATGCTTATTGTGATTTATTTGCCATCGAAGCGAATGTTATGATTTATTTCCCAATCCGGAAACATTACATCAATTTCCCCGATGAATAATATACTGTGAACTATTCTTTATCTCAATTTTGATCTCGTCTTCCCATATCAACCTGTTTCTTTAAATCACATTCCCTGTCATTTTGTCGAGGGTATCGTTTTTACTTTATTTACTTATTCATTTTAATAGCACAAAACGTTGAAACTGATATTTTTTAAAATATTTTAATTTCTGATTATTTGTGAATATTAATTGCTATTCTAATTATATCATTACAGGTTCTCAGCTGCCAGCTGCGACGAGGTCATGAAGGAAAATCAAAGCATAACAGGAGGCGACTTGCTTTTATTTGCTCGGACCTATGCCGCATACCACGGTTATATATCTATATGTGTGTGCATATTTGGAATCGTCACAAACATATTCAATATAACAGTATTAACAAGGAAGCATATGCGGACACCAGTGAACTTAATTCTTACTTGGCTTGCAGTATCGGACATTATAACCATGTTGTCCTATTTACCATTTGCCATGCATTTCTATTGCATTTATCCCGCTGCAAGTAAATCAATGGAGAAAAATAGCAAAAGCTGGATGGCTTACATGATATTTCATATTAATCTTGCCGCTACAACTCATACGGTGTCAATTTGGTTGTGTGTGATGTTGGCCATTGTTCGTTATTTGCATATCCGATCTCCAACAAAAGCAAACTCGATGCGACTGCAGAGAATCAAACAATCTCGATTTGGGATTCTTGTTATTTACGTTTCATCTGCACTGATTCTCGTTCCCAATTACATGAGTAATAAATTGCTTCCTGATGTTCTTCCAGGAAACAATGAAACCATTTATGTTCTCCGAAACTTGAACCTTGGTAAGAATGACACCGAGACAATGGTGCTTATAAACGTATGGATATATGCTTTCACCGCCAAACTTGTCCCTTGTCTATTGATGTCAATATTCGGTTCCCTGTTGATCTACAACATTCATGTAAAAATCCGCCAGAGACGTAAAATCTTACAGATATCAGGTGCTAGCAGTCTGCGTCTGTCAGAACATTCAAGGACCACAAAAATGTTATTAGCCGTCATCATTCTGTTTTTAGTAACAGAACTTCCACAAGGTGTTCTTATAATATTAAGCGCATGTATGGAAAATTTCTTTGACCAAGTATACCTTCCTTTGGGAGACGTGATGGACATTGTAGCTTTGGTCAACAATGCCGTTAACTTCATTCTATATTGCTCTATGAGCACAAAATTCCGTGAAACATTCGTACATTTGTTCTGTAACTTCCACCCGATTCGCCGATCAGAAGATTCCGGTTACACCCTCACCGACAGACTGGCCAAACTAGATTCCCACAGTAACAACAATGACAATAATCAACATCTTCATCTGCTTAAAAATTATTTCCGAAAACCAAGCGCCGAACGGCATTTACAAAGACAATAGTGAAATGGACCAAGACTGAATATTAAAGCACAACGATTTGTATAAACAATTCATTAAATTTATCTACAAATGTAGATTTAATATTATAAAACTGATACTGTCTTAACATATAATGTTGTTTTTTTATTATTGAGTTTCCCATTACATGTACAATAAAATGTTTTATAGCTGTTTTTGACATGTACATGTAAAACTTTTCCACAGCTTGTGTGCATCATCATGGAGGAAAAATAGTAGGCGGAACGTCCACATATGGTCCAATTGAACATTATGTTCAAGATATCGCTAAAATCAATGCATAATATATTTTTTTCTGTTTACATTAATCCTAATGATGTATCTTTATCATAAAAATAATAGCCTCATTGATCAAAAACATTCAGTAACGTTAAGTGATTTTGACGGTATTTCCCTTCTTTAGAAGTAACACCCTCCCCCACCCCCTGCCCAGTAAGGTAAACATCTTGCTACAATGTTTGAAAAAAATCTCAATGAAAGTCCTTTATGTTATTAACCGCCCTATCTGCGTATTTTATTCTTAAAGATATATTTTACACATAACAAAACAAAAAGGTACTCTACATGTACATAAATTGGCGTATTCAACATTAAGCGCAATCACCGGGTGTGGAGTTGTTGGCGAAATCATGATTTAGCGCTATACATGTCCGTGCCGTATACTAGTATTGTATTTATAAATGATTTCTTAGCGGAATTCATGAATTAGCGCATCATTGTCTGCGCCAAAGCCGCTAAAATATGAAGCCCGCTTTTTTAAGTACACGTACAGTATTAGCTTTCCAAATATTAAATTCGCTTCTTAAATGTTAATTTAACAATTAAACACAAACCGAGGTTTATTGAAAAAAGGGGCCCAAAGGCTTTCATAGTAAGCCAATCATGGTAAGTTTCTCAGGCTATATCAGAACTAAAAATATAGACCTGTGTGCCCAAAACAAAACAGAAACAACAGGCCCATTGGTCACAATGCTTACCTGAGTATCTATGGCCATTCCTGTTTTTCGCTAGCAAATTCTTTTTCTTATTTAGATCTTTGATCACATATTGAAGCCCCATTTTACCCCCTGGGGGTTATGATTTCAACAAACTTGAAACTTTTTTAATACCAAAGGATGCTCCATATAAATGTGCCTATATATGGCTTTCCTGTTCTTGAAAAGAGATTTTTAAAGAATTTTCTATGTATTCCTGATATGTTAAACTTTGATCCCGTTCATTAACCCACCCTACCTATGATTTGAACAAACTTGAATATACACTTATCGTGGATAAATCCATGTTTATATGAATGAACATGGCTTTGTTGTTCTTCAGAAAAAGATTTTTATTATGTTTTGGTATGGTTCTTGTATGTTTTCCTATGTAAAACTATAAGATTGCCCCTTGTTGCTGGTAGATGATTTGAACAAACTTTATTATCTACTCCGTATTCTTGTGTATGTTTCCGTATAGATAGGACTGATCATGGTTTTGTTGTTATTGAGAAGAAATTTTTAAAGATTTTTCAAATGCATTTCTATGTAAAAATTTGATTGCCCAAATACTTGCACCCTACCCCTTCGGTCATGATTGGAACACATATGAATCTACGCTACCTCTGGATGCTTCCAAATAAATGTGACTGATCATAGCTTCTTTGTTCTCGAGAAGAGGGTTTTTAAAAAGATTTTTCGTATATATACCCATGTAAAACTCGGATCACCCACAGTGGCTCCATCCTACCCCTGGGGTCATGATTTGAAAAATCTTGATTCAACACTATGTCAGGAAGTTTTCACATCAGTTTCTTTTTTTCCCATGCATTCCAATGTAAAATTTTTATTTCCCAGTGTAGCCCCACCCTACCCCGGGGATCATGATTTGAATAAATTTGAATCTACACTACCTCAGGATGCTTCCAAATAAATATGACTGACCATGGCTTTGCTGTTCTCAACAAGAAGATTTTTAAAGATTTGTCCTAATATAGGTAGTAACCCATGTAAACCTTTGATCGCCCATAGTTGCCCCACCTTACCCCCTGAGGTCATCATTTGACCAAAATTTAATTTACACTATGTCAGAAAGCGTTCACTTAAGTTTCACCTTTTCTGGCCTAGAAAAATGACCCCACCAAATTTGTACTTTTTCTTTACTTACTCCTCTTAGAAGAGGATGTGGCCCTTCATTTGAAGAAGCTTAAATTCCGTTCACCCAAGGATACTTTTGCCAAGTTTGGTTGAAATTGACCCAGTGGTTCTGGAGAAGATGAAAGTATAAAAACTTAAGATAATAACGCCAACGACAACAACGACAGAAAACGGACAAATTTTGATCAGAAAAACTCACTTAAGCTTTTGGCTCAGGTGAGCTACAAAGGTATCGTAAGAGGAGCAACCCTCGCAAAAGAGCACATTTCTAAGAGACCTATTACGTACAAGAGTCATCATGGGCACTTACATCATAACTAAAGGATATAGTTGTTAATTTACAAAACGCAGTATCATACAAAATTCTTATCATTATTGTTTTGTTTAACTGTCATTGATGCTTGATTCGATCTACACCTGAATTATCACTAATTAGGTAATCACAAAAGGCTTTATCGGTAAAAAAAAAAAAGAAGAAAACCCATATTCAACAGGATCGTTTTATTTTCACAACTTGTTTTTCGTCTTATAACCGCGATTCTAAGTCAGCCCAAGGAACGTTTGTGCGGCCTGAATGGACCAAAGTACCGAGAATAAACTTCGAAACGTGTATGCCTATGTATGGTTGCTACCGTTGAACATTCAACAAAAACATGGCCAATTAAGAATTTTTCATGTCGCTTACAAATTTGCCATTGTTATATCTTAACTATAAATTTAAAGATCGATTTCAACTCTAAGACTTAACATATACACATAGTTTTGTAATTATTTATATCTATGCAGTTAAAGTTTTGATATGAACATAATGTAATGTTGAAAAACGTATTCCACGGCAAAGCTTAATGTCGCTTCATTTATTTACAAATTTAAAGAGGGAATTTTCAGCCGTAAAAGCGTTCCAAATAGATTGCAATGAATGTTAAAAAAGCTTTTTATCCTATATAAGAAGAAATCAAACCACTTGTCGAAAAGAAATACATGGATCTTCTTTCATGCGAAATCATAAGCATGTCACTGAAAATCGATTAACTTCAGTAACGATTTTGTTTAAAATTTTACGCACAGAATGCAGATTTCAAAAAGAACTGAAACTTATCTGAAAGTGACCACGGAACCTAATATCATCGATTCTAGTTGCGACTCATCTACTTAAGACCATTACATTTTCGACATAACAAAATGAATTACTAAAGACAACAAGAGGCCCATGGGCCACATCGCTCACCTGAGCACATTGGCTAGACTAAGGCACAAATCAGAACAAACGGGGGGGGGGGGGGGGAGGGGGCTTGAATTTTAAACTACCTGATGATGCTTCCATGTCAATATAACAAATGAATTTGTTGTACTTGGGAAGATTTTAAAAGAATTTTCCCATTTATTTCTTTGTAAAAATTTGATTCCCCATTGTAGCTCCTCCCTATCTCAGGGGTCATCATTTGAACAAACTTGAATCTACATTACCTGAAGATGCTTCCATATCAATAAGACTAACATAGCTCTTCTGTTCTTGAGAAGAATTTTTTTTCTATATGTTCTTATGTAAAACTTTCGATCCGCCATTGGGCCCCACCCTACCCCCGGGGGTCATCATTTGGACAAAATTGAATCTACACTACCTGAGGATGCTTCCATATAAATATGACTCTTCATGGCTTTACTGTT